GTGTCTATAGATACACGAGTAAATGCAAGAACCCTTTTGGTTGTCAAAAGGTCCATTCAGGTGTCAACTATTCACAGGTGGTGGTGGTGGTGGTGGTGGCGGCGGCGGCGGACCTGAGCTTGGGTAACATCTGGACTCTAGAGACCCTCACCTCACAAACGAGGAAAAACATACACTCCGACTCACTAACATGGAAGGGGAAACCTGTTGTAGAGGAAAATAGCCTTCCCAACGGCCATTGTCCACATCCATGCTAGTGACTCAGATGGTAAAGAACAGCAAAAGGGTGCAAAGCCTCCCTGCATTCAAGTTGAGCGATGCTTCTTCTTGCTTTCACAGTCGATGTGTCACAAAATAATCTTGCATCCGCAAGGTTTTCTCCAAGCTGTGATAAAGAAAACGAAATGAAATGAATGCGAATGAAAAGTGAGTATATATAAATACCCACATACACATGATCTACTCTTCTTCAACAGGTTTCTTTGAGAGTCGACTGCCCACGCCTCAATCATCTCTTCGCCCACGGCGCCTGTGGCGCCAACTACAGCAACCTGACCCACAACTTACGCACCTCTGACGAAAAAGCATCAGCAGTGGTCCTTCAAGTATCTAATTCTCAGGACTCTCAAACAAAAACTGAGATCTTATTTGGTTTCCTTTCGATCAAGTTTCTGGCTTTCACCATGGCGCGGTGTGGGGTCCTAACCTGTGAGGCTGCAGTGGCTCCAGCGTGCTTCCTGTGAACTTTCCGTTGAGTCAGTCAAAGGCGCCAGCAATCCCAGTACAGTAGCTGTAAAGTGTAGATGCGCTACTTACTGATCAGAAAGCTTTGCCAGAAACTCAAGTGACTATGGGCTTGTGTTTCAAATCGACGTGGGAACGTCATTGCCATCTGTCATCGAAACCGCACATCCTCTCGCTTGCCACTCTTGATTTTGCAATCATGCCCGAATGTGAAGTCTTATATACTGGAACATGGTGGCTGCGTCACTTTGGGCTCAAGGCAAAAGGTGTTGGCCTCTTTAGGGGGACCCCAAGGGGACCACGTTGGCACAAGAGGCGGCCGATGCGACGCCTCTTGCTTTCGTGTCAAGTGACGCAGACTACCCTGCTGTTGTGAGAATTACACCCACAAAGGAGCCAATTTGGTCCTCGAAGCATTGGTCGTTGTTGGTCATTGGATCGGACTTAAGGCATTTGAGGCATTTGCTCAGGGTGTACGCCTAATCTCCAGCAGGACAGGCGGTGAAGTCAAACACCTTGTGGAAAACGCAGAGCGTTAAAAAAGTCTGAAGAGCGTGGATTCAGCTGCATTCCTTACGTCGAGCACAAATTGGGAACCAAAAGCTCTCCTCGCTATTAGTTCTACCTCTATTTGATGTGGCTTGAATGTAGGTAGGAAGTGCTCCACGTAGCTGTAGAGACTCCACAGCTTGCAAAAACACCAGGTCTGCAATTCTGGATAGGAAGGACGGAAGGACCAAATACATCTTTCATGCGAACTGAAGTTTACATTGGTTTTGGGGGGGTCATTGACTCATTGACCCACTAAGTCGTCCTTGATAGGAAATGCACTCAGCTGTTTGGTTTTCTTTTGAGAAATCAAACCTGGAAAAACAGCAATGCTATCGTTGGCGAGTTCGTCGGCTCGGTCTTTACTTCCACTGAAGGAAGACAAGGAGTGAGCGCTTGTTTGCACAGTCTCAGTTTAACAGTATATGTGGAACCAGTGGGACGTGCGATTGGATCCCAATCCAATTAAAGGTAACGTACTTGATAAATCTGTGCACCTAGTGCCTTGTCGCCAAACATGATATCCCCTTGTCTGGAACGGACCCCTTTCTCAGGTCTATCATGTCTGTGTTTCTTCATTATGTAGTAGATGTTTCACAGGTGTCATTTTCTTGTGTTTCTAGTCTCAGCCGATGTGTGGCTTCTTGCCAAGACCGAGGCATGGCCAATGGGCCGGGGCTCTCAAGGGCTCTTCGGCCAACATGCGAAGGGGACGAAGAAGTGAAGTCTTTGTGAATCCAACCTACTAGCGATGGCCTCCTCAAGGCGGATCAGACTTACCAAAGACTTCACTTCACCTCACTTGGCCGCCCAATGTGCACATCTTTGTGGAAAACTTTACATCGAACTTAGAGCTGAAGGACCTTGAAGGACCTTGGTCGGTTCCAACTCTGCAAATCTCATCAAATCTCACATTGCTCTTTGAGACTTTTCCTGTGTGTTTATTCTTTTTTTGGCCGCTCCTACTTACTTAAATAGACGCCTACTTAGTCAAATAAGAGAGTACACACTTTAGGAAGCTCCTAGCTAGGACGCAGGATAGCTCACGCTTCACTAATGATTTGGTTTCTAGATTTTGAGGGAAACTTGACCTTTAGACCTTTCTTTACTGTTCTTTATATATATATACTGTATACCTTTAGACCTGTTTGTTATTGATGTCCTTGCTTCTTCTTTCCCAGCAAGGCAAGCAGACAACCTCACTGAGATCTGTACGTTATCCCTCAATAAAAGCCACTGAAATTACAGCACCATCATGGCCTCCGAGAGAGCCCAGGAACAAAACTACGCCTCTCTATGGTGTCAAGAGCTGGAAGATTGCTGCTTCAAAAGAGATGAAATGATGTATTATGTAGCAATGTAGACTTGTGCGTTCTTCAGGTCAGACCTACCTCTTGGCTGAACTCAGAATTCATACAACTAAGGTCCGTCGCCAGGTGAAACTTCTTTGTTTCCCCACTTCGCTCCCACTGTGCCTTCTAATGTCTTCAGACACTTCCCCGTAACGCTCCAAAGTCGGACAGTGCCGTCATAGGATGCGGAGCCAATGATAGTACCTATCCATCCAAGTCTCTCACAAATCTACTTAGTCACTTATTCTGCCAGTTGGCTTGTGTTCAATGTGACAATATTCGTTCAAAAACCGCATAAGCCTATCCTCTCTGTGACTTTGTTGAGAGCTCGCTTCAAAATATGATCATCCTTCATTCATGGACAGGTTTTTCAAAAAAACTACAGCTCTTCCATGCCCTTCCAAACAAACTTGTCAAACATTGAACCATCAAAACCTTCCCATCTGCTTGGACACCATCAGGAGAGAAGGCTGCCGATCGGACCTGAATCATTTTTGAAGCGAAGTGAACGAAGGGGAAGCGAAAAGGAAAGCAAGCTTCCTTGGGAATCGTTTCACTGGGAATCGTTCCACCTGTAGTAACAAGAAGCTTTTTAGGTCTTTGAAGCTTCTTAGTAATAAAGCTTTCTATATAGTAACAAAGAATGAAAGAAATCATCACGAGTTGCCCAGCACCACCTGTGAGGTCCCCGCCCAGTCCTCGTGGCCAGAGAGTGTGAGGACCTGGTCTTTTCGCAAGTTTGAGCTTGGACAAACAACAAGTTTGCACATTTGCACATGTCTTTTCTCTGCAAAGTCATCCAACTGGTTGTAGTTGCTGCATAGTATCGTATCAGTGTCTATGCAAATAACCATGATCAAGATTTGAAGCTTAAACTTCCCAACCATAAGGTGTTTTTTTCTGGGAATCCAGCACACTCACCATTCTCAGCCTTGGGTAGGTACTTGATGAAAGCGCAACAAATTGAGGGCAACGTCTTGCTTGTGCTTTGAAACGTTGAGACTTGCGAGCCGAGGTTTGGGCGTCAAAAATACGAAGGCTCTCACTCGCTGATGCTAGCAAAACCTGTGCATTGTCCGAGCTCAGAATGCAGAGTGCCACATCCTGGAGCTTGCCTTCTGCCCATCTGGAGAGAAAACGGCATCATTCACTACCTGCCAGGTGCCATGCAGTGAAATAGAGAAAACCATTGCACGTTGCGGAGGAAGCTGTGAAAACGCCACTTGAAACGGACAAACTGCAGCTTTGAGGCTACCTTGCCGGTCCAGTAGGGATTCAAAATCCTCTTTAAGATCCTTGTGGAACACTACCCTTACACCCAAAGGCACAAGTGCTGATGTTGCTGTCAGGTCACACTTTGGTGTGTGTGTGTGTGTTGTGATGGGTTGGGAACGGTCAGCCAGTCAGGCTCTGCATAATGACATTCGCAGCATGTTGGTTGCACAGGCTGTAATACGATGCGGTGTGGGATGCGAGTATACGAAGGTCTGTGTGAAGTACTGACATCAAACAGCTCTTTAATTGAAGCTATCTGGTCACCTGCCTTGCCGTCTCCAGGAATGACTAAGTGACACGAACCGCTGACCTGGACAAGGAGGTTGACTACACATGTATCATTTGACGCTGTCCAATGTTCCAAAATTGGGGTGCTGGGATTGCTCAGGTATTTTCCAAAAAAAAAATACTAAGATCTATAAATCTATTTCTATGTCAAAATACGTCAAACAACCGATGTCACCAGGTCTTTGTCGAATCAAAGTCTCGGCACCCAGGCCACTTCCCAAAGCCGTGCGGTGCCGTCGTACGCTGAAGAGGTCAGGATTCGGGCACCATCCTCAGTGGGCAATGCGGCAAGGCAATGCGGCAATGCTTCCAAATGGAACCTTCTTCCATCGTGTCGGAAAGTGTGTGACGTACACTGGGGTGCCGAAAGTTGCGCTTCTGGCTCTTTAAAACATCACAAACCCTTCCCCTTAGAATCCTACGCGTAACATGTCGACACCTAAGTTGCGGTCAGGTTTCCACACCTTAAAGCCTTATAAGTATTATAAATTCAAACGGGTGTGGAAATCTGACCGTGCAGTACCTGCCACGCAAAATGGACGTGTTAATCCGATCCGCTGTAGACCGCAAGTGTCATGTTGGAACAGAGTAAGAAGCGTAAACTTTAGGGTTCTTGAAGTATGTTAGAGATCTGACAAGGCTTGTCATCCCCGCACATCTAAGTCGCCGGACCGGTGCAAACTTCACAGAGCTAATTGCTTTTGTATGACCTGGAAGGGAGTCTCTTCCGAGAAAAATAGACGATGGAACTTGAGGTCAAAATCACATCAAATTGCTGTACCAGGTGACGCTTTTATTTTCAGCGATCAAAAAAGCAGCAATGTCCGCTCAAGATGCAGAGTACTTAGCTGCTGCTTCTGAAGCTCGTAGCATGTTCATGCTGCGAGAACACAAGAGGTTTGGCAAAATACCCTTGAGCTGGGCCGGTTTTTGCACAGCAAAATTGGTTTGATCATGTTTGCATGGCGACACAAGTGACAAAAGTATTGATGAATATGTGATGAATCATGATCAATCAAATTATGAACCAGCCGGGGCAGATGTTCCGCTGATCGAGTTGAACTCCGCAGGTTCCACACGACGGGAAGAAAAACAGCACCAGCGCTGTACTTTCAGCGCGTTTGTGCTCGAAAGGCGAGATGGGCGTCGAGCAACGCATCCTTCTTCTCTAAAAATGTCTGATAGCGTTTCTTGCCTCTGCAAAACTTTCAAGAAATGTCTGGCATGCTCTGCAGCGGCACGTTGAGTGCTGATAGAATCACATATCAATTCGCAGAAACTATTGGAATCTATCACTGTCAAATGTGAGACGTCTTCTGCAACTAGATCTCCCATGTAAATCCAATTTGTCCACAGGCAGGCCTCTGCCAGCCATGTTGTCCGGTCAATAGAATCCTTGAAAGCAAAACATGAATACCAGCAACATACACAAAACCATTGCGGCAACACGAGAATACATTGCATCTCACCGCACTGCGCACCATTGCATCATCATTACATTAGAGCGCACCACAGCAAATTATGAGTTGTGCATCCAACATCGGTCGTACAGGCCATTACCACCAAGTCTGCAAGGTATCCGAATGATCAAAGCTGCACATTTGCATCTTTCAATCAAATACTGCTTGGCCAGGCCTTCATCTCCACCATCACCAACCCGGGATCCAGGACCGATGAAGAGGGTCAAGGATGGATTCGGAACTATGATTCGGAAACCTGGATTCGGAAACCACATCCTGATTCGGAAACCAACCCTAAATTCTCACTAGGAGTCAAACTAGTTCTACCAATAGTTCTTGTGCACAACCCGGTCTGTAGAGTTTAGCGGATCAAACAACAACAAAAATAGAAGTGCCAAGAGCGTCATTACCCCCCGAACCCACACCACTTTCAGGTTGCACTGAAGTGCTGTTGCTGAGACGAATTTCGGACAACAGCTTCCAAATCATGGTTTCGAAATCGCGGTTTCTGAATCCTAGTTGCCAGCAGTTTCTGAAGCTTAGCTTCTGAATTGTGGTTTCTGAATTCCGTAGTTTCTGAATTGGAATTGTTCCAGGAAGAATGGGCATTGGAGGTCCTTCAAAGCAAAATGAGTCGTGTCGACAAGCAAGCGGAAGCACCGGTGCTGCAGCTCGTATCACTACTGAAAGCATTTAGTGAAAGCCGTCCTATTCAAAGGACAAAACCGGCCCGCTGTGGGGCCAAACCGCACCGAGCGGCTCTTTCCTCTGGCCGCGCTCGAGCCCCCACCCTACGGGCAAAAAGGGGCATGTTCATGAACCGGGTGATTGCATCACCCAAACTCCTTCTGGCCCTTTTTGGCCTTCAGTTGAAAGGAGGGTATTCTGGCACCGGCTGATCGGCGTCCCATGGCCAATTAAATTTCTCGGCCAGTCCCCTCAATTTCTCTACAAACAAATTCTGGGCCTCTCTCAGCCGCTGCTCCATGATCTTCTTGTGCACCTTGCGCCCCGCTTCGAACTTGTCGTCATGGGTCAGGCGCCAGTGCTGTCTCTGGCTCAGGAACTGCAGGATGGTTTTCCTGGCTCCGCTCTTGGTGAGCGAATCGCCCAGTTGGGCCAATCCATTCACCCACCTTAGCTCTGTTCCGGCCTTCAAGGCCTGATTGACAGCAAGGGTAAGTTCATACCCGGCTCTGCTGTCGCGAAGACCATGCAAAGCAGACAAGTTGCGAGTCATCGCATCATAGATTCCTCTCGAATCCATGACCAGAGCTCCTGGAACTCGCCTCACAGTGCTGTGAAGCTCTGCCCTCTTCATCTCCAGGCCGCCGAACTCGGCCATCATGGCTCTGATCTGGTAGTTCTGGTCCTCCCCGATCGTGATGCTTTGCGCCTCGGCTCCATTGGAGCCTAGGCACTGCCGTGGCTTCTTGCCGCTCTTCCATTGCACCACTGCCACCTGGGTTTCTGCTCCACCAAGTGCCTCCTTCACCGTGATGCCGGTGATGATGCCCACTGTGCTGGACTTGTCCGGCCTGTTGCGCTGGCTTGCATCTGCCCATGTGACGGCGCACAGGTAAGTGATGTCCTTGAACTGCCATCCAGTCGGGAAGATGAGCCCTTGCCCAGCCTCGCGGCGCATCTCGCGGACCAGCTTGTTGACTTTGTGCAGAGACTCAATGGTCCCTTTGTTGACTTCGCTCAACAGAAAGGATGTCTCTGCTAGGAACTGGGGTGCCGATTGCGTTGATCGCCATGAAATAGTTCCCAGTGCCGCCCTCATTGAAGAAGTCTCAGCAGGAGTCAGAGGTGTCTTCATCGCTTTGCTCTTGTCCACCTCAATTTCTTCAATCCACCTGAGCGTGTAGCTCTCCTGATTCAGGATGATTGAGCCGTCGTCATTCTGCTTGATCGTTGACCCAGCGAACTCAAAGTCGTTGGTGTTCCAACGTCCCCATCGAAAAGCTTCATTGAGCATCTTCTCTCGGGTCACAAAGAACTGCGAAGTCTCGTCTCCAGCTAGTAGGAAGTCGTCCACGTGAAGTCCTGCCAGACCCACCAGCTTGGGAGGTTGCCCATTGCCACCAGTTTCGGGCTCGTAGAGAGCGAAGCAGCACTTGTCGCCAAGAAGTTGATGCCATTGTCCATCCTTCATGGTCTGCACACAGCGCTCCCACCATTTCCTCGGAGCATGGGCGAGCCCATAGAAGGCTTCTCGTACTCGGAGAACACGTTGGTCACCAGCCTCCGAGCCGAACATGGCGCTTAGCTCTGGCGGCGCCAGGACATTCAACTCTTCATCCTCTAAGCTGATGCCTGTCTGCAAAAAGGCACTCGTCACGTCCCCCGCCTTGAGCTTGAACTTGTAGGCGGCGGCGAGAGTGAGGATCACGTGGCGACCGACCTTGGACATAGTTGGAGACGTGGTGGCCACCTCAGTCAAATTATGCGCCATAAAGCCAAGTACCAGGACCACCAAGCGCGCCTTGGCAGTTCCGTCACTCTTTCGAGTGAGCACCCAGCGCATCTTCATCAGCTGCTCTGGCCTCACTGTTGGATTGGTGGTGTTTGATCGGATGGTGTCTGGTGTGGGAGTGGAGGCTGAACTGGTGGTGAAGTGTTGATGGTTTGCGGAGGTGGTGGCGGGGGCAGTGGGTGGGGTGGAGGCTGTGTGACTGGAGGAAAAGCCGAATAGGGTTGCCAAACGCCCTGAGGGATGGCGTACTGTGGGTCTGTGGATGGATGATTGGCGATCGCGGTCTGTTGCTGTGTTGGAGGGGGATGTGTCAGTGTAGTGGGGGGAGGAGGTTCCGCTGGTGGCGCGGGATGAAGGGTTGGCAACAGGTATGAAGGGGGAGGTGCTGCTGACGGAAAAACTGGAGTTGGATGTGTGGGCTGCGGTGGCACGTGGCATGGTTGCACATAAGTCCAAGTGGATGGTGTGCTGTAGGTCAGTGCAGTGGCTGTAGGATTGGATAAGAAAGGTGGTGGTTGAAATGGTGGTGGTTGTGGGTGAGGGTATGCCGGTGGATGTGCCGTGGGATAGGTGGGTGTAAGTGATGGCTGTGGTAGCGGCCATGTGGGTTGAGATTGTGTGGCAGGTAATGGTGGTGGCGTGGCATGAGCGTATGGCCACGGAAAATGCATGTTGTGCTCGTAGCTATGGCGCGGCACGGCGCGGAAGCAAGAGGCAGCGGAAAAGTGCCTAGTTGTGTTGTCGTGTTGTTGCTGAAAGTCTCATCTCTGTTGTCGATGGAGAGTATGTTGTAAGGTGGTGCTGGATGTGAGCATGTTGGTAGGTGTGTGTTCATGCATCGCGAATTAGAATGAAGAGCTCTGATGCCCATCCTTGAGTTCAGTCTATGAAAGAATCACGGCATCAAAATGGCAAAACGTAGAAACACGCACATGACTTGAAGAAATGAAATGAAAAGACGGATTCGAAATCTGAAAGTTGAAATCCGATGTATTCTTCAGGAACCGTTTTTTGGCCCGGCGGCCGGTATGTCAGTTGATTCGGTGAGGGTGTCGGTGCCTTCCTGTGAGAGTCCAGTGAGTGGTGGTGCGTTGGGGTGGTTGCTTTCCCACGCAAGATCAGCGCCCCTGTGACGGGGATCACACTCAGCACCCGAGTGGGACGGCTGAGCAAGACACACTCTGACACTTGTAGTCCGTTAACTCAATTTCACGATGGGAAGGAAGGCGATGGAACGGAAAGGTGCATGGGTCCGCAACAAAGTATTGTTGAACATCCTGTTGAAATGCACTCGCAAGCGGTCAGCGCGCGGCAGCTGGAAGCGGCAGAGGGAAATGGTTTGTGGGAAGTATCATGAACCACCGTGGAATCAAACAAAGGAGATTGGAACAGCGTGGGCAAAAGTTCAAAAAATCGCACCTGAAGTTCCTCCTTCTTGGTCAGGTTCCTCAAGGCTCTGCTGATGGCCACCTGGGAGAGCTCCTTCGCCATTGCCAGGTCGAACTCTTTCTTCTCGCTCAGTGGGAGCTTCTCCCATTGAATCTCCTTGCCCTTCTCGGACATCTTCTTTGACAGCCAGATTGCTCCCCGTCGGCGGTCTTTGTTCTTCGCCAGCCATTTGAAGTCCTCCTCATTGACCTCGAGGTTGAAGACGAGGAAGGTGTCCTCAGGTTCAGGAGGTTTCTTCTTTGGCCTTGCCGCCGGAGGTTTCTCGTTCTCCTTCATCACCATGAGCTCCTCTTCACCTGACGTCATGTCTTCTGGTTCCGAGATCGAAGAGGTAGAAGATGATGAGGTGTCCTCTATTGGAATCTCAGCTCCTGTAGGTGCTCGTCGTCCTTCATAGAGGTCATACATGAAGGTTCTTCCATCCCGATCCTGATGGTGTCCGGGATGTCCACCATGAAGGTCACATTCAGGAACTGGGCACCGATTGGCGCCTGACTCGCCTCGCACGGGCATGCTGTCCACCATCTCTGGTCCTTTCTCACAGAGAGCTTTCTGGAGTGCCGTAGTCGATGACGATGAGGGTCCGCCAGGTTCTGGTGGATCATCTCCTTGTTCTCGTGGCTCATCAGGTTTGTCATCAGGCTCTCCATCTTCTGCTTTTCTCTTCTCTCCCTTCTCTCTTCTCACACACGCCTTCTTCGCAGGAGCAATGTTGACAAGTTCGAACCAGGTCTCGCCTTTCCAGCGATCTTGAAGTGTGCGAGTTTCGTCCACAGTGTCATGAAGTGTAACCTCATCTCCTCCATGAAGGGGTCGGACGATCGTCTTCCTGGCTCCCTGCAACTCTTCCAGGCTTACCGGACATTGAGCTACCCGTGAAGGACTGAACAATGCAAGACGAGGAAGTTCGTGGCGTCGAATCAGATATCTCCTGCCCTCGTGCCACTTCACGCTCCAAGAGTCCTTTCCGGCTTCTCGTGCTGGCTCCACCAAAGGTGTTGATGCAG